ACACATTTCTGTGGTTTACCATTACCATCTGGGATGCTTTGTTATGGGAGCCCCAGAAAACTAATACATCCTCCACGTGGCCAAGGTTGTCATGTAGACAAAATGGGACGTCAAGTGAAAGCACTTATGGTCTTATTACTTATTGAGACAACCAGACAGTGTAACCCCAGCCACACCAGGAAATAACCAGAGTAGTTCCAGAGACAGAGAGCCCCAGACTGCAGTTCCCACCATCACATTAGGTCCAGACCTGGAGAGCTGTGGATAGAACCATGCTGAGCCCTGATAACAAGTAAGTCCCTCTGGGGCAGGACTTCATGGACCCAGATGTTAAGTGCACTAGTTCCTCCTACCAGCCCACAATTTTTTTTATGATCGCCACTTGCCCAGCAGGACTTATTATTCTGGAGTTGTTATTCCTAGAATGTGCTAAAGCTTTCAGAGTCTGTCTTGAAACTTGAAGCTGATACCTCAGATAGACCCAGGGATTTGTTTCTGGTACCATGACTCTCTTACTACCCAATGCCCCTCAGACGACTAGACCAGTAGATGGCTCTCATTCTGATTCTGAGGAATTCCGCTTAGGGCGTGTACAACTCACATCAGTAAGGGCTTCCTCATCCTTACCCCAAGACCCAGTTCCATACAATGCCACATTCAAAAGAAATAATCCCACTGCCAATGCCTTGAAAAGTTCTGCAAGTCATTGAATAGATGGAAAGGAGAGGGAGCAGGGGAAATTCTCTCTCATCCTCTTTGTTCAATGTAGTCCTACACCAGTGGAAGTTATCCTAGGAATTCCTAACCCTTCTCCTACCTTCCAGAGCTTTTCTTCTGTAGGTAGCTCTCTTTCCTCTCTAATAAAGATGGTGATATGGTTTGGCTGTGTCCCCACCCAAATCTCATCCTGAATTGTAGCTCCCATGATTGCCACGTGTTGTGGGAGAGACCCAATGGGAGATAATTGAATCATGGGAGTGGTTTCCCCAGTACTGTTCTCGTGGTAGTAAATAAGTCCCATGAGATCTGATGGTTTTATAAGGGGTTTCCCCTTTTGCTTGGTTCTCATTCTTTTCTTGCCTGCTACCACGTAAAATGTCCCTTTGCTCTTCCTCCATTTTGGGCCAGGACTGTGAGTTCATTAAACCTCTTTTCCTTTATAAATTACCCAATCTTGGGTATGTCTTTATTAGCAGCATGAGAACAAACTGATACAGCTAGTCTCGCCTTCTGTTCTCCTTCCTTCTCTTCATTTACACCATTCCCCCGATGAAGACAAGGGACCCAAAGCCCAGTAGACAAGCAAACAAAGCTACTCTTTAAGGTGGGGGAAGGGAAAAGGCTGTGATCAAACATCCCAGTGTATCTGTGAGGTTATTTCTGGATGAGATTAACATTTGACTGAGCAGACCAAGTAAGGCAGATTGTCCTCCCTAATGTGGGCAGCTTCTGGACTCCAACTTAAACCATTGGCTCTCCTGGTTTTCAGACCTTTGGACTCAAGCTGCAACCATCCCATTGGCGCTCCTGAATCTCCAACTTGCTCACTGCAGATCTCGATACTTCTCAGCTTCCATAAAGGCATTAGCCAATTTCTTACAATAAATATATAATCTCCTGTTGGTTCTTTTTCTCTGGAGACCACCAATACAGATTTTGGTACCAAGAGTGGGATATTGCTGTAAGAAATACCTAACAATCTAGAAGTGGCTTTGGAACTGGGTAATTGATAGAAAATGGAAGAGTTTTAAGATTTATGCTAGAAAAAGCCTAGATTGCCATAAAGGGACTGTTGGTAGAAATATGGATGTTAAAGATATTTCTGGTAAGCATTAAGAAAGAAAACAGGAGAGCTGGAGAGAAGCATTCATCTTCTCAGAGAATAATCAGGAACAGAATGTTGGTAGAAATAAGGCTGAGGCATGAGAATTGCTTGAACTTGGGAGGCAGAAGTTATAGTGCACTAAGATTGTGCCATTGCACTCCAGCCTGGGTGACAGATTGAGGCTCCATCTCAAAAAAAAAAAAAAAAAAAGTGATCCTGCTATAAAGTGGCAAACAATCTGGCTGAATAGCATTCTAGCACTTTTGGGAAGGTAGAATTTGCAAGTGATAAAATTAAATATTTAGCAGAAGTGATTTCTAAACAAAGTATTAAAGGTGAGATTTGGGTCCTCCTTACTGCTTATAGTAAAATTCAGGAGACATGAGATGAACTGAAGAAATCAAAAGCAAAAAGGAATCAGAGGCTGGGTGTGGTGGATCATGCCTGCAATCCCAGCACTTTGAGAGGCTGAGGTGGGTGGATCACTTGAGGCCAGAAGTTCAAGACCAGCTGAGACCCTATCTGTACTAAAAATACAAAAATTAGCTGGGTGTGGTGATGCATGCCTGCAATCGCAGCTACTTGGGAGGCTGAGGCATGAGAATCACTTGAACCCAGGAGGTGGAGGTTGCAGAGAGCCAGGACTGTGCCACTGCACTCCAGCCTGGGTGATAGAGACTGTCTTAAAAATAAAAAATAAAAAATAAAAAATAAAATAAAATAAAATAAACAGAACTTGGGGACTTGGAAAATTTCTTAACCTATCCATATTGCAAAAATTGAGAAAGGTTACTCTAAGAGATCACTAAGGGTGTGGCTGAGCAACCATTTGATAAACAGATCATGAGTGTGACTCGTATACCTAATTAGCCATCTCAGCTGAAGCCAGGAATACCGACGGGATTATACCAGAAAGACACTGATACCTGGAAAGAAAGAGGACAGAGAAAGTGGGAAAGAATAAAGGTAAGCTGTCAGCCTTCTCAGATTCTATAGGACTAGACCATATCACTCTTTGGCTATAAACATGCACCATTTAAGCAAGAGAAAGAAATGACCCCAAAGGCAATTCAGAGATCAGGGCTGCCACTCAGTGCGTGCGTGCGTGCGTGCGTGCGTGTGTGTGTGTGTGTTTTGGTGAGGCTGGGGCGGGGGGACATGGGGAGGAGAAGAGCTGAGCTCCTCCTGTTTCTGAGGGCAGGTCACCCTGCCAAGCCACAAGGATGACACTACATCAAAGCAAAGAGGATTTATTCTTGAGGCTTAAGATATAATGGGATTTGCTTCAATAGGTTTTGGACTTGCTTGGGACCCATCAACCCTTTGTTTCCTATTTTTCCTTTTTGGAATAGGAATGTCAATCCTACACCTGTCTCACTACTGTGTTTGGGACACATATAACTTGTCTGGTTTCAGAGGTTTACAGCTAGAGAAAGATAGGAATCATAGCTCAAGTCTCACCCATACCTGATTTAGAAGATATTTAGATGAGACTTTCTACTTTAATGTGAGAATGAGTTTAGATTCTGGGGGCTGTTGGGGTGGAATGCATATATTTTGCATGTGATAAGAAAATGAATTTGGGGGAAGGGCTAGGGGCAGAATGTTGTGAACAGCATATGTTCACCCAAAATTCGTATATTGAGAGCCTAATCCCCAATAAGACTGTATTTGGAGACAGAGTCTCTAGGAGGTATTAAGATTACATGAAGTCATTAGGATGGAGCCCTAATCCAATAGGATTCGTGCCCTTATAAGAAGAAGGGAAACCAAAGCTAGCTATCTCTCTGTCATACGAGGACACAGTGGCAAGGCAGCCATCTGCAAGCCCGGAAGAGAGCCCTCATCAGAAACCGAACAATGCTATACCATAATCTTGAACTTTCCAGCCTCTAGAACTATGAGAAATAAATTTCTGTTGTTAAGCCTCCCAGTCTATGGTATTTGTTATGGCAACCTGAGCTAATGATACTTTCTGTACCTTGGTTTTCCCATCTGTGAAACGGGGATAATTATGCCTTTATCTTAGGCTTATTGTAAGAACAAGTTAACACATGGAAAGCATAGGGAACAGAATCCAGCATATAATAAGTACTATGTCTTTGTGAGCAACTGTTATAAAGATGAAGTCTTTGTGCTCAAGGTGCTTGACTGTCTACCTTGCACAAAAGGTGTCATTTGGCCTTAGCTGGGTATTTAAAAACCCTTGAAAACTCTCACCCCCATTGGCCAATGTTTACAACTCTTCTAGCTGAAGTCTGCATTTCTATTAAAGTTAATTTCTATTGGAAGGGTAACAGTCACTTATTTCTCAAAGCAATGAAAAAAAGATGGACTGAAAGATATTAGATGTAGGTCCCCAGAGGATGATGATGAGTTGGAAGCAAAGGCTGAAGCCCCTGAAGCCTATTTCTTCGAAGCATGAAGTTAAGGAGAAAGTAGAGTGGAGTAAACTTGAGACAGGCAAGGCTATTTAAAACGGTAATTGTTAAACTCTGCATTATTGCAAAATTTCTTTTTTAAAAAAGAGACTCCCTCCAGGCACAGTGGCTCATGCCTGTAATCCCAGCACTTTGGGAGACTGTGGGTGAATCACCTGAGGTCGGGAGTTCGAGACCAGCCTGACCAACATGGAGAAACCCTGTCTCTACTAAAAATACAAAAATTAGCTGCGCGTGGTGGTGCATGCCTGTCCCAGCTACTCAGGAGGCTGAGGCAGGAGAATTGCTTGAACCTGGGAGGCGGAGGTTGCAGTGAGCCAAGATCGTGCTGTGCCACTCCAGCCTGGGTGATAAGAGTGAAACGCTAAAGAGAGAGAGAAAAAAAAAAGACTCCAAAACTTTCAAGACTGCATTTATTTGTCTCTAGAAGGTAACCCTGGGCCTTTTCATTTTTCATACTTGTGGAAGTCTGAAACACAGAAAAAATTCCATTATAAACAGTTAAAAATAAGAACAGTTTACAAAAGAAATACAATAATGAAATATGCAAAAAAAATTTAATTCGTAATCAAAGATGTTTAAATTTAAATATACCACTCTTTTACCCATTAAGAGTCCATCTTTTAATAGAGGTCACTGATAAGAATGTGATGGAATTAGCACTCTTATTATACAGCCAGTGGTGTTATAAACTGGCACGATGCATCAAGTTATAGAGTGACCTACCTGTGATTCAGCAGTTCTACTTCTGGGAATCTGTCCTGCAAAAACAATACAAAATACAGAGAGGGCTAAACACATCAGTTATTTGTCACGTTTATGAGAACAAAAAAACTGAGACCATAGTGGCCAACAGTAAGACAATTGTCCCACCTAATGGGTCACATAAACATGCCAGTGATAGAAAAATCAAGAACAGGCACACAATGTTACGTACCTGATAATTTTTTTATTTTAGTTGCAAAGGAAAAGAAATTGGAAGGATTTTAGTGTATTTCCATCAGTGGTTTTACTAGCGTGGCAAGATCATTTTGTCTCTGCTCAATTTTCTGAAACACTCAACTTGAAGAAAAAATAAACCCATGACTGAAAAATAAAGCCACTCAAGTTATGGTCAGGCTGTTTGGATACTGAAACCCATTAAGTATATATCACTGTGGATGGTAAAGCACTGCAATCAAATGCTTTAACTTAGCCTTAAACATTTACCTATTTTCTAGTCCACCCTCCTTTATATTTCAAGGTTCAGCTTTGTTAGAACAAAAGTGATTAAAAAGGACTTAACACTGTTATACCCACATCCCCCCAACCCCAACACTTCATTGACTTGCCGATATTGGGCAAGTTACTTCTGTTCCTTAGTTTCCTCACATGTAAAATGGATATAATTGTTTGTATAGCACAGGGTGGTTGTGAAAATTAAATAGGTTAATATGTATATGCTGCCAGGAACAGTCTCTGACACAAAATATGTACGACTAGCTTTTTTTTTCTAATCTTCATCGAGTCTTTCCACTATACATGTGATCAACCTTTCTTTTGTTTTACAGTTCAGACTTAGCTTTAGAAGCTTTATTTTTAAAATAAATTTTAATTTTTTACATATTTAGAATTTTTATACTTAAGAGACAAATTCATATATATTTACCTGAAGGATTAAAGGATGACTGTATACTGCCTATAGTCTAGTGCATTTTAGAACATTTGTTTTCGTTTGTTTTTGAGAGTTAGCTGGAAAATTTCAGAAATGTAATATTTAAGTATGAGAATAGAAAACTTGCCAAAGTTTATAAATGTTGTCTTTATTGTCACAGCTCATTAAAAATTGGCTGTTGGTCTCATCTAAGCCAAAGAGTTTAAGGTCCAAGAAGAGGGTAGTCTGAAGAATAGAAACCCAGTTTGTTGCTTAATGTCTTTAAGAAGGCAGGCACACTCCAATTGTTGGTGGTGTGGCTGCAGAATTTGACATATTATCCAACGTACATTCCTCCACCCACTGAGCCAGGCTTGGTGAGGGAGATGGGGGTAAATAGAAATCCTTGCTCACTCAGCTTTAGAGCTCAGTCCCTGTTCCTACAATAATCTGAAAAGCAAGGCTCACCTTTCCAAAGTCCCAGAGAACTACAAGCATAGGCACCATCACAGCATCAGAACCTAAATCCCCAAAGTACAGAGAGCACAGTAAAATCCCAGGGCTATAAATGCAGTCACTGGAGCAGCCTTCCTGAGCCACCGTGCCCTTAGACCAGGGCAGCAAAACCCAACACCTTACCAGGTGAAATATGCTACTGTGGTGCAGTAAGGAGTGGGGAGGACTAGGACAAACCAGAAAGCACCCACCTCATTAAAAAGGAAACAACTTTGGAAAATACTGGGCTGACTAATCTCATCAGAATATGCCCCATAGGCTATCAGTGAACCCCGGGGCAGATGACTGTTCTTCTCAAGCAAAGGGAGACCCATCACTTACTGTGGTAGAATTTTTACCATCGCATAGAGCCACTACCTGGGGGGATGTGAGATGGACGACAGAAGAAAGAGGCTCAGGGCTTTCCCAAGATGCTAATGAATTCATCCCAACTAGCCAAACCGTCTCATTTCAGAGCTTAAAATGCTATAGGAAGAAATGTCCCCAGTGACTAATTTCACAGATTACCACAACTTGGAACAGGGGTGGTAGGAGTCTACCATCCACATAGGCTTCTTTCTCCCAGAAACTCTCTCCAGGAGCTTTCCCATGACATGCCAGAGTTTGGAAGTATACACTGGCAGCATACCCAGGCCTCTGGAACAGACACTATGTCTCTCCTTATGTCCTTTTCCAAAGGCCCTCAAGCCCCAGCGCTCTTGGCATCTCACTCCAAAATTGAGGGTGGTCTTTGTCTAGAGACATGGTCTCTACAGGGTCACTGGCAACTCTGAACGAAATTTAGAGCCATGCATAATCCGAAATGCCAGAGCACAACCACAAGTGGCAAATAGAAGGAATATACAATGGCAAGACAGCAAACACCCTGCCATCTAGCAACGCCAACCCCAATACGGCAAAAACCTACACTTCGAAGCTCTAATTTTCAACAGGCCTCTCCTGGACCTTGAAATTAATTTTTCTTCCTATCAACACCATATGCTGTGGCTTCACATGGCTCATGGCCCTCTCTGTCTGCACGAATACTTGCCAATTCATTCCCCTAGTGAACCTGCTCTGGCCCCAGAAGTTAATCTCCATCCCTGTCATCAGCAGATTCTCATGTACTTCATTCAGGACTTTGCCTCCCAGGAATGTTGTTGATCTTGCACAGTCTGCTCTGACCCCATCTCCAAATCCCCCAAAATGCCCGTCCCTGCCACCACCAGGATTTCACTCCTCGGGTCCTCATCAAGGGCAGGGAAAAGGGTACCACTCCTGCAAACTGAAGCTGG